TCAGTGTGCAGAATCCCAGATCTCTTGAAAATGAATCTGTGTTGCTGTGTAACCAAACTGATGTCCGTAACAGTAGCTTCCTTTCAGTAACTTGTGGCTTCGTCCATGTGTAGTGGACCACATCTCGCTAGGAGTAGGACGAAGTGACTTGATGTCCTGCATCTGAGTATGCCATCTCTCTATTTCACTGCCAGCTGCTGTCAGCATTACTGGAAACTAATTTAATGAACTGATTTTAAAAGTGATTTGTACCATAATGCCTTTCTGTTTTTCCCAAAGCAAATTTTAAGTGTGCTGATTGGAGAATCTCAAGGCAGGGATTTGACATTTTGGATTATACATTTAATTCCTTGAGCACTTTTTCTCTAAGAGCAGCAGCTGCCTGTTGTAGTCTTCCATTTATTAATTGACTCCTGAATGTGTGCACATACACGCTAGTCTGCAAGATAAGGATCTGTACAAAGCTTTTCTTCTGCTGAAGGACTACTTGGCTTCCTCTTACTTGATTAAATCTTAAAAAAGGGAAGAGACTAGTATTTATGATCCACACCAGATCTTTTTGTTCCCTAATGCTAGCTCTGAGAGAGGAGGAATCCAAGGAAGCAGTGTTCAGAAGCAAATTGAAGGGACTGTTAGGAAGGATTTGTTAAAAACCAATCAAGCTGCTGGCCCCGTCAGAGGCCTGTTGCTGCCTGGCTCAGAGGGTGCCTCTCGGAGTCCTCCATAGCTAACGCTGCAGCGCATGGACATTGGAGCAGGAAGCTTTCCTCTCTGCTGATGTTCAGCTTATGCCCCGCAGCATGTGCTTTGACTCTAGTAGCATTTACACATAGATTGGACCACTAATAACAAATATAGTTGTGTGTTGTAGTTGTTAATACAAAGCCTCTGTTTCTAATCAGTGCATGGTATTATAGTGCATGCTGTGTGTGTTGTCTCCCCCAGCTCTTATTTACAGTATACAGCCTCAGGTTTGTTTGCATCTCCACACTGTCTTGATTTAAGAAAAAACAATAATCTCCAAATGTTTCTAGTTGCTGATAGCCCAACTCCTCCCCCGCCGCCGCCTCCCGATGAGATGCCGATGTTTGATGATTCTCCTCCTCCTCCACCCCCACCACCTGTGGATTATGAGGATGAGGAGGCTGCTGTTGTGCAGTACAGCGATCCCTATGCAGATGGAGATCCTGCTTGGGCACCTAAAAACTACATAGAGAAAGGTAAGAAGCATTGCAGCTGTGTTAGTGCAGTATCAGGGGATTAATGGTGTCTGAAGGGAAAGAAGGACTTAGGGTGGGTCTGATGAAAACAGTCATTGTCCCTCCTCAGAACTCAAACCATAGTTTGTGTCTACACCTAATGTGGTAAAATATAATCCTTCTGGACAAATTATAAAATACCTTCAGGCATTTTAGAATGGGTGAAAAAGCAAGTTTCTTCAAAGAAGCAGGTGTAAATTGGATGGCTTTCATCTTTGATGAGCTGAGCTGTATGTACCTACCTCAGGATTGCTGGGCAATCCTCTACAGGCTGCTGCAAAATAGACAGAAATTCCAAGCTCTATTTATCTTCCAAGCTGTATTAATCTAGAAAACTAGATTACTAGAGTGGATTATTAGACTTTGAATTATAAAATGTGTTGAGGCCTCCTTGGAGATTTATCAGTGACTCCAGATCAGCAAACTGTGAACTGTGCTTAGGTATGAAGTCACATAGTAAGCATCTCTTTCCATAAATAATGGACAAGCAGATTACCCGCCTGTGGAGTTGTCTGTGTTGCAGCACTAACCATTTTGTCAGCAGCAGTGCTGCCAGTTGTTTCATGAGCTGACTGGAGCTGCAGTGAGCACAAAATGGGGCCAGGTACTTGTGATATTTGTGGCAGAGCTCCTGTGTTCCCTCTTCACTTGAGCTGGACTGTGTGCAGGACATACCCATGGGATAAGAATAACTGATGCAGTACAGCATTGTTAGGCATAAAGACATCAGATAGCTGAGAATATATGTCGGTGTAAAATAGTGGATTCTTGAAATTGATAAAGCTGATCAATCACATAAATCCATATTAACTTTTGAAGGAAAAGGCTGTGATGTCTGAAGTCTGAATATTCACAGTGGTAGTTTTTAACTCCAGTATTGGTGGTGGCAACATTCTTTTCTTGCGAAAATCTCTGCTTTGTTAATGGCACATAGCAAGGTTAGTAAGGAGGTTAGTAAGCGTAAGGTAGTACCAAGCAGGTACTGAAAATAGCAGATGTTTCTTCTACACTCTTCTTCAGCAACTTTCCTATTTGCACTCAGTGCAGCTCCTTGAAAAGTAATGCGAGAACTCCTTACGACAATAAAAGCTGTGTAGGAATGCCCATTAATTTGTGTGCAAAGGCTTTAGCAGCAATGTGTGCAAAGGCACACTGATGTGCCAGCAGGGGCCTCAGTGGAATTATTTTTGTACAATCCTTTTAGCCATGTTCTAATCTAGAGATTCATATAAAGAGATCTACATGCTTTTGAGGTTATCTGGTCAGAAATGGGTACCACACAAGTCATATTCCCTAACTCAGCTTTTAAGTGTCCGTAAGCTCCACTTTACTGTGTCCCAATTGGATGGATGTACTTCTCTGTCAGCAGTTTAACTGAAGTGTTCAATGTAGCCAGCACCCACTTAGTGTTAGCTAATGTTGCAAGGAAAGTGAAATTCCATTTTCTGGGCTTAGTGTTCAACAGGAAAAGCATGTGAATTCATTACTGAAAATCCCACGATAGTGAACTGATCTTTTAATATTTTCTGAAGTACAATTGTTTTTTAATACTGTTGTTATTAATAAAATGCTAAATGTGTTCCTGTTTATTCCACAGTTGTTGCTATATATGACTATACAAAGGACAAAGATGATGAGCTGTCGTTTATGGAGGGTGCAATCATTTATGTGATAAAGAAGAACGATGACGGCTGGTATGAAGGAGTTTGCAATCGAGTAACTGGCTTGTTTCCTGGGAATTATGTTGAATCAATCATGCACTATGCCGATTAAAATCCTTTGCTTTTCAAAGTTTGGTCTTGTATTCAAGTCATACCATGATTATTTACAAGGGGTAACTAAAAGCTAACAGAATTGTCTTAATATACTTTCAAAAATTTGTGCCCGTTTCTTCAGGCCATACTGTTTTAATGGTATGATTGAATGTCCATCTCTGAGTCTCTGGGGACAGTATGTCTTACCTGATGGCAATTTGTAAAACAAGCAGCTGTCTATAACTGGTTATACTTATTTACTTATGCATTGTTAATTTTATGACCAGCCTAATTATTATGGGGAAGTAGGGTATAATATTTAATGAACCATGATCAGATTGTGCCATTACATTTTTCAGTACAGCATGGTAACTAACACTACGTTAGACTAACATATTAAAACCTGGATGAGAAGTTTAATGTTAGTGCTGGTCATATTACTTTTTGTTTAGACTCTTTGCTCATTCTTGAATTATATTTGTTTAAAGCATGCATACAGACTTATGTATTGAAATATACTTTTTTAAAAATCCAAGATGCTTCCAATTGTTGTAATCTTTACCTGGAGTATTCTCACTAAAGTCTATTACAATGAGTTGTTTGGGTCTAAGGTGTCCATGTGATTCAAAAAATGGGTGGTCTTATGTATGTGTAATTTGTACCCAAGTTTTTTTAATGAGTAAATTTACATTATGACTTTTTCCATTCATAAATATATAAGTGAACCAAAGGTCTTGTCCATTACTTTGTTGGTTGGCTTGGCAAAGAAGTTTGGAATGCTAACGTAGCAAAATCACGGCTGTGTTGTCCCAGGCAATCAATGTACTAAAAAGCAAATGTTTGTAACATGACTTTATCACTGACAGAGGGAAAATAAATTAGATCTGAAACCTGAATTACACACTTATACATACTCTTAAAAGTTCTTTTCTGCCCAGTTAGTTTCAGTGAGGGTTCTTGATTGAATCTAGTTACCTGTATGCAGTAAGTTAGACACCACCTGCAGCTGACAGTTCTGCATGCGAACTCTCTCTGTGTGCCCCACGGAGCAGAGGGAGCAGGAGCAGGCTGTGCTCCAGACAGCACCCAGGGGAACACAGTGACAGGAACTTGGTCATTGTTAAGGGATCACAGGCACAGATAGCCAGAGAGGGTGTGCTTCCCTGCTCTACAGATTCTGTGGCTGAAATAACCTGAGAAGGAATGTGGTAGTACTGGGTAATTACTGAGAGAGGAATGTGTCTGGGACTTCAAAGGCAGCTTCTAGGGTGCTACAGAATATATTCTATAAATGAGTGATGAAAGTGATGGAGCTGCAGGTTTGACTGGCTGGTGAATCATTCATTTTTAGTTTGAGTTAGAAATACTGAGCCTTTCATTTTCTGAACAGAAACATTCATTTGGTAACAATCTCATATTCTGCATCATGTTAACTGTTAGCAAGTAGCCACCAATAGCATGAATTGAACTCATTGATGAATAACCAATTAAAATCCACATGTAGTCTTTTACATGTCTGTCTATATATATACAATTCCAGGTGCTTCTGTTAAGTAGCCAGGGAAACATTCAAACCCTCTCTCTTCAGAGGAGTTTACCAGCTCCTGTACACGCATGTTCTATTTATTAGTGTAAACAAGTGAAATTTGGAACAGCTTCAGTTTGCATACACTGATTTACATTTATTCTCATTGTGGCCTTTGTGCATCAACATGTAAACATCTTCCCCATCCCTCACAATCAATAGCCCCCACTAAAACAATTGTACAGCACAGTTTGATTTGCTCTGAATTGCATGGCTTCCTGCAGTAAAACACTTTAAACTTTTGTTTAAAAAAAAAAAAAGTACAACTTAAAAAAAAAAAAAAAAGGAGGTTCTTTTTAAAAAAATAATTTTTGGTAGCTTGTGTTGGAAGCAAATAACTTTTGAAATAAATTTAGGCACAGTCTGGTAAAGTAGCTGCCAGAATGAGTGGAAGGTGGTCTCTCACTTGTCTCGCATGAGAACCATTTCTGTCAGGTGCACCAGGGCCTCTCTCTCGGGGGACGGCCGCAGCTTGCGGATCTCGCGCGTGGCGGCGTGGCAGTAGCGCTGGGCGAGGTAGGTCGTTTGCTGCACACCATCACTCTGAGGGAAGGAGACGGAGAGAAAATGAATGATCAGCCTCCTCCTGCCTTCTGCCTCTTCCAGTCACAGGAGGAAGTTTTAATGACAGTAAGTACCCTAATACATTATAGTCCAACAGGGAAAGGAAGAGGATTCATTGTGTAATCAGGAAAGGCCACCTACCTGCCCCAAACTGTCAAAGTACTGAAACTCATCCAGGCTAAAACAGCAACTCCTCCATTACAAAACAGCACTGGTATTAATAACAAAGTAGAAACTAATGGTTTATCCCTTCCCCTCCTGCCCTAAATAGATATGTACAAAACCCCCATGCTATTCTGAAAAATAGGTAATAATTTTGCACAGACCAGTATTCAGTCTTTTTAGACCAGAGTAATTTAAAACTGGTATAGGGTGTGCACTGCAGTTACAAGACTGACTGGAAATTACATGACACTTATACCAGCTGCTGAATACAGCTATATCTCAGCTGGAGGAACCGAGTTCATGCATGAGCTTTTTACTTTTTATGTGGATTTTATGCTGTTGGAGGGGAAAAAAAAAAATAAGTTCTTCAATACCTAGCATTTCTGCTAAAATACTGTGCCAGTAGGAGAGCTGAGGAGTTCTGACTTGGCATTGTACGTTGCATGCTACTCAGCAGGTATTTACCAATGCAGCCCTGCTATTTTACTTGGGAGGCAATGAATTTCAGACTGAGCAGCAGGGACAGCAGAAATATTTGGTATCAGTCTTACCTGCAACACGTATTTCCATGCACGTTCAACATCTCCTGGCTTACTGAATCTCCTCATTATCATAGCATTCATTTCTGGAAACTAAGCACAAAGGGAGAAGGGTTTGTACTTGCTTTTGAGTTGTTTTCCATGTAGGTGCCTGCTGTGCTAAGGTCAGAACACCACCAAAGTGCAGCCTTCTTCCCCTGTCACTGTTGTTGTTACAGGTATAGCTTTAGGCTTGTACTTGCAGTCTGCACAGGACTACAGTATAGCAGAGCCCTAGCATTTAAAACTTAACCTGGCTCTGCTAGCTGTAGCCAGTTGGTAGCAGAAGTCAGCACCTGCCATTTTATCACGTTAAGCAGATGTTCCAGTGTGGTAACTTCTGATGTGGCTACTGCCTGGTGTATAACCTGCATCAGATATTCTGGCACAGATGATGGTTAATGTTGGCACTCCTAAATGAAGCACCTCTGCCCCCACACGTACAGAGGAACTCAGAATGTTTGTTATTGCGATATTGTACAGTTCAACTTGTAAAATCCCCTCGTGGTAACACTGGCTGTTGCATTCTCTTGCATTTTCCATTGTGCTAGTATTTTATATATACACAGATTTTTTTTTAAATAAGAGAAGAATGGTGACTATAAAGTATTTTGTTTTAGAGTCAAACAAAGATGATTTTATTGCCATATACTTGTAAACAATGTTCTGCTTTCCTTGAACACCTTTCCTGCAACTGTAGCTTTATAAGCACGTTCAGGTACAAACATGTAGCACCCATCAGTGCTGTGGCATTGTCCTATTACTCATAGGCCTTAAGAGATGCATTCAGAAGCTCAGTGATGACTCATACTTTATCTAAAAGAAGAAAGTCATGGCCTTTTCTAGATCCTAGCTTCCTTCCCAGGTAATGACAATTTAATTGTAGTGTTCATACAATCAGTTTTCACATTATTCATATTTACAGTTATATAGGATGCATATGGGATCACTTTTTATATTTAAGCACTAAAGGACATGAAAATGCCCAAACTTGTAAGGCAGAGCTGTTATTAGCAATTTTGCATATTTAGTGGGCAGCACATCACTATTTAATAGGAATGCTTTTAATAAAAATAAACCTTCATTCTTCAGCTGTACTCGTTTAAGAGGCACTTTAGAACTAACATACACTAGTGTATTTCCTTAAAAAATAAATGGGGTGTTGTTTTTTTTACTGAGAGAGCTAACTTTAAACACTGAATAAATAGGTACTATAGCAAGGTAAACATTTTCTTCTTCTTAATATTCTAATGCACAAAGGTGTATTTCAGAGGGAGGGGAAAGGATAGAAGAAAAGGCATCTGTCACTGAAGATCCAGAGCACATTAAAAACTTAACAAATGTTTGTCAGGAAGACAATTCCAGGAGTACCAGCTACATGAAAGGATAGCAGCAATACTAATCTGAAAAGACAGCCTATGATTAATAATTACACTTTGGACTGTCTTCAAGTCCTGGGTCGTGCATTTTTTTCTCAGACACAAATATATGAAATGTCTTTTATTAGCATCAGAAGTGTCTGTTGGAGCTCCACATTTTTAGCACTCATGCTTTGTTTATGTATCAGTTAAGTCTGTAGTGCTGTTCTTCCAGTGTCTTGAAAACAGCAGGACATTTACAGCAAAGAAGCCTTCTGGTTAATGCAGAAAACTTTATAAGATGGTCATTATCTCTCAAGGCAAAAATGTACACTTCCCATCTATCAAAGATATAAATGAGGAAAAGCATTTAAAAGTGGCCTACAAAGAACAAGATTTTAAAATAGGACTTACAGATTTTTTTATTTCTATATTATGAACTAATTTATCTTGTAAAGCTAATTAAAAGATGGATGAAGTTCAAAGTCAGAGAGACAACCCAAACAAATTAGTAATTAATAGTTTTAATTTAAAAATTGGAATATTCAACACCCACAAGACAATCAATGTCACCCATTCTCTGCCAAAACCTGGGTATTTGCAACCTGCCTTGTTTCCTTCTACACATGGCTTTATCACACACAAAAACAGTTTTACAGCTCCATTCTCCATCTCTACCTGAGTGCCTCACTGTTCTTTGGACAGCTCCAATTGCTGATGACACAATTCTGAAATTATGATTCGAGAACATGTTTGTGAATCCCCCAGATGAGTATGGGGAGACACTGAGGACACAGAGAAAGTTGTTCTCAATATGCATTAATCTACTTTGTCAGGTGGCTGGTACTCTGTGCTCCTGTCCTTTCTGAGATACAGATCCTTGTGAATGCCCAAAGGATAAGGAAGCAAACAGATGTGTATGCTCCACCTCCCCCCACAACAGGATCTTTTAGAAAGGGAAGTAAATGTCAAAATGGTTGGGTTTTTTAAAAATTATTTAAACCTTTTCCCATGTCAAGCTCTAAGCAATTCCATCGAGAGCTCATAGACGAGAGCTCTGCTGGAACTAATTGTGCCAGTTTTTGTATCACACTGTGAAGCCTGGTAGGAAGGACTGCTTTTTAAGTCCCAAATCTGCTTGCCTCTGGTGAACAAGACACTGGAGCAAGGAATTAAAATAGTTTCTTTCCTGTTTATGGATTAGCATCAATTTTAATGTTTTTTCCATGCTATTCACACTTCTGTTTTCATTTTGCTCCTCCAAATAATTTTTAAGGTACTGAAAATCTTGACCAATTTTAAGCTTGTTTTATTTATGACACTCCCTTTTATCCAACCTTCAGACAGGAAACCTGCTCATGTTTGTAAATGGATAAGACTTGAGGACAAAGAGATGAAAAGATCAAATCTAATAAATAAAGGTACCCACCTAAAGGCAAGGCAGAGGTTTCAATTCTTGGCCCCAGATGGATAGAAAGCCCAAAACAAGACAAAAAAGCCTACATGCACAGTCAAGCCTGGGAAGAAGATGTCTCAGGAGAAAACACAACCAAGAAGCTACTTAGGAATAACCTACACAAAATGTGCTAAAGCTCTCTGAATACCTACAAGAGCCTAACAGTAAGTAGAGTTGTGCAGGAAGGTGTTTCTCATAACTTGTGTGTGCACAGAATCCATCTGATATTGAACACACTGATTTGTCACATGTGCCCAGGCCACTCTCATCACTGACACTGGAGATTTGATGTGTTTCAGCTGGTGCTGTGAGGAGTAGCTTATACTTTTTATTTTGAGCAAACAGCTTCCTGCTGGCTTACCTGTCGACAAGCAAATAAGACAGGGCCTGTGGCTAATCCAAGCTTGAGATCTGCTGCTGTTGGTTTCCCCAGATGGTCAGCACACGATGTAAAATCCAGCACATCATCTATCAACTAATAAAATAGTAGACATACAGATAATTTAAAATTTCTTTTTTAAGTATTAGAGCTAAATCAGAATAATCAGCTAAAACAGAATAATCCTTGTTAAAGACAAGATTTCTAGGAAGGATTAAGACAGACACTTTGATTTCTAAAGCACTTTGGAGAAGTTTAGATTTTAGACTCCATTTAGTTCAACAAAAACACTACCTGAAAAGCTATGCCAACGTTTTTTCCATACTGGTATGCAATCTCATGAACTTTTGGATCAGGGCAGCCTAAAATTGAAACCTGAAAAGATAAAAACCCCAAGTAAATAGAAAGCTTTAGTTAGCATCCACTTTTAGTCCCTGACCATAGGTGTGACAGAGCCAGCACAGGCTAGAGGGATCTGGGAAAGGCAAAAAAAAAGCAGACTCAGGCACATTCTGGCTTATCTCAGTTCATGGAGACACACAATTAGCCAACCTTACTAGAAAACAAGGCTGAACAGCAGTGCAGTATTAAAACTACATTCACATCTGCAAAGAGATTAGCTTCATTAAATATTTATCAGGCTTAGAAATAGCCATGCAAGGATAAAGAGAGAAGAAATGTGGATGCACCTCACATGCAGGGTGGTAGTCATATGCAGTCCAGTGATGGGGAAATTAAACTAATTACATACATAAAGCAGCCAGGGGATAATTGGAGGTCAGACAACAGATAAATTGACATTAAATGTCTCATGAAAGATCACAAAGCTGGATATGTAGAACCATAGGGGCAGTTGACATAAGGATGATTATTTTTAAGGTGATGTTAACTGTATCTGACTTGCTCAGGAAGATGACTTGATTAGCTTGCAGGCAAAGGTACTGAGGGATAATTAGTGGCAAAGAAAAGACAGCAAATGAAGAAAGCACACCCAAGCTCACAAAAGTATCACTAAACTGAGATAAACAAAACATTTTACTACTTGGGAGACAGAAATTTTGCTGAATAAACTCCACAAAACTAAAATACAGGATATTCACTAAGGTTTGAAAATTAATATCTTGCCTCAAAGTAAGGGCATTTTTGCATTTATGTACTGATTATACATTTTGCAAAATGAGGTTGGTTAAATACTCAAATTTATTTCAACCTTCAATAAACCAATTAGAACAGTGGACAAAAATCCACCCTGGTTTATTGCAGGCATTCCAAATCTGTTGTGACCAATGCAAGGTGTGAAGATAAATTTTATTTAAGACTAAAAATATATTCTAGGAAAACACAATATAAAAACAAGTATGTGTGTGTGTCTGTTTGTGTACATATGTATATGCATTCCTCTTTAAGATTGTGTAAGCTAGGATCGTAAAAAAACCCCTCCAACCCCAAAACCAACCCCAAACTAAAAGCAAGTCCAGCAGTAGCTTTGAAAGTGAACATGAAGATGGAAATAAGAAACAACATTATATCCTAATAAATGTGATGAAACTTGCATAAAATGAGAGATGATTTCATGCAGCAGTGCACTTCCTATCTGAGCATCAGAATACTTCCCAGTCATAACCTGCATCTGTAGATAATAACTAAACCCCACAGGAATCTGGATAACTGAGAAATTTGCAGCATCATGCATTCTCCACATTTATTTAAAAGAGGAAGACAGTATAGCAGGAAAATAATCTCTAATAATCCTACAGAGTCTGAAGGCTATTGAACAGAGTGAACTGCAAATACGAGATATTTAAATAGATGTTGCTAGGGACTATAAAAGTACAACATTTTGCCTTTTTATCCTCCTTTTGATGTTTGTTTCTTAAATAGCAGTATTTGTCCAAAGACCTAATATCTATTGCTGTACCATGCAAACTTTTGGTTGCTTCTGTAATATAAATCACATAACACCAGCACGGCAGGGGGACTGCATCCACCCTGTTCTAATGAAATTCTTACCTACCTCCACATTTTATTCCATGTGGAGGATTAAAACACAGAATTCAGTGGCAAAATCCTGGTTAATGGCAAAGGGAGTAGCTGGCAGAGGGTGGGAGGAAGTGCTGTATAAAGAAAAGAGCTTCCTCATTTAACCTGAAAGGTCAGTTCTTGTTCACAGACAAAAACAAAATTAAAAATTCAGGAGATTTGTTTTGCCAGTCATCCTCAAGTGAGCAACCCTCTGACCACGACCACATAATAAACCTGCGATTGTGCTGTGTCTATCAGGGAGTTCCTTCAGGATGCAATTTCTCAAACTGCTCTTGTAGATTGTTGCCCCCAGCTGGACGCTGGCCGGGCTGCAGCCAGGCAGCCTGTCACTCCCATATGGAGTTTAACTGGAGCTGTGCTGGGATGTTCTGGGATAATACCCACATTTGCAAATACAAGTCAGGATAACCAAGTCAATAGTCAATACAGTGATGTGTGTTTAAATTATAAAACTCCCCCTCTGAAAACAGCCTAAAGCTCCCCAAATAGGTATGATTCATGACAAATTTAATCCTGCTAGAATTCAGGCCTGTCCTCCACTAAATCAAGATGAAAAATCCTTCCTAATACCAAATGGAACAAATTCTTTTGAAAAGTTCTTTGAATCCAGCAAAGGAAGACAATCTCCTTGGTGTTATTTCAAACACACTTTTTGCAATAAAAAAGTTGTTTCTGTTATGTTTCTGAGAGACTATAAACCAATTTTGCCTCTTTACTGGATTTCCCATCCATAAAATACATTATCAGCTCTGGTAGATAGATCCTGCTCTGATATTTAATATGTGGCAATATAGCAGCTGGAGTTGAAAGCATTTGCACATCTCTACCAGTGCTCTGTAGGTCAAAGAGGAAAACCCACTGCTGGGCCAGAATATTGTTGAATAAACATTACAAGAGATGTTTGTTCTTGTAGTCCTAGATTTGTGGACTCCATGGAAAGAAAAAGGCTGTAAAATCTCCCCCTTTTCCAGCCATTCTCCTCCACGCCCATCTCCAGAAGTAAGGCTACTGCCTTCTCATTCCTGGCTCACCCACCACTGTTTTTCTAGACAGAAGTGTTCCTCTTTCCAGGAGAATCATAGAATAGTTTAAGTTGGAAGGAAACTCTGAAAGTCATCAGCTCAAAGGAGAGCTTACTTCACAGTTCAATCAGGTTTCTCAGAGCTGCATCCAGTTGATTTCTGAGTATCTCCAAGGATGTAAAATCTCAAACTCTGTCTCAGCTACTTGTTGCAATGTTTGACCAACCTCATAGAGAAATTTTTCCTCAAACCTAATTGAACTTTTCCACAGTACAACTGGTCCTTTCACTACACATTTCTCCATCCTCTCTATGCCCTCCAATTACAAGGTGGAGACAGCAGGAAGATTCCCCCTTTGTCTTCCCTACTCCAGACTCAAACCAGCTCTTGGCACATCATTTGCTCCAACCTCTGCCCTCAGGGTGGCCCTTCACTGAACTGCCTGCAGAGTGCCCATGGGTGTCCTGTATGTGGTCTCACAGCCACTGCCCTGGATGTGCTGCTGCACTGGCAGTGATGCCCCCTCCCCATGCTTGTCCTCCACTGCTGCCAGGAGTGCCACCGACTTCTCCAGGCTCCTCAAACCCTCCTGGGAACTACTCTTGAGGAAGGGGTGATGGAGGGAGATGTCTTGACTCAAGACAAGGCAGACAACTATCTTGTCCTGAGTCTACATTTTCATGCATTTGACCTTTCTCATGTGATTAATATTTTAACAGGTTAATCAAGTACTTATATATGTAGACTTGTACTTTTCAGTAGCAAAGATTATCTCCCTGAATATACGTGATAAATCTTTTTCACAGCACAAGAAATACCCCCAAAGGATTTACTGTATTTTAAATAGTAAGTAAGGAGATTTAGTAGCTGACCATAATATCTGATAGTGCTGTGCTATTACCCTACATCTGCCATTGGACATTATTGCAGCCTGCAGGTCTAGTTGGTTTAGGGGGATTCAGTTCTGCTGGTGGGGGTCAGAGGTCTTACTCTCCCAGGCACCAGTTCCACATGCTGGTAGGGTTTTCTGATGGAGCCCTGTGCACACACCAAACTAGGAACTGGCTAGAGCAGGAGCTCACAGGAAGCTCTTCAGACTACTGGCTTCTTCAGTCCCCTCCACAGCCCTGCCTTACACAAGGAGGCACAAGCGTCCTCTCAATATGGAAATCAAGAACCTCTAGTGCACCCTTACACTCAAAGCAAGCACAATTTAATCCCTCATCTGAAAGTATACTATGCAAAATATAAACAGCTTTATGAGGCTCAGGAATTCAATTACAGCAGGGTTTAAAAAAGAGAGAAAACCTGCTCAGGTTATTTTGCTATCTCCAGCTGGCCTCCAGCTGATGACTAAACAGAAATTCCACTTGAGCTTTATTGTTTCTGAATTCTTGAACTGAAGTCACCTCATGTTTCTCTGAAAAATGCCTTGCAGTAACTAAGGCTTCAATGACTCTGGGCCATCTGCCACTGCTTCCTTTTAAATACACTTTGATTAAAACTTTGGTAACATTCCCCCATGCAGAACTATTGTAGAAAAACTGGAGACTTGGATGGCTCTTAACATCTTGAAGAGACTGTTCTCTCCCTAAGTCCTAACTTAAAGAATTTTGATTTAAATGCAGTAATGCTTTGGTGGTACAGAATGTATCGATTACAGTGTATGTCTTGTTTAGAGGAGTATTGTATTCCTTTTTGCAAGAATACTCTTCCATGTCTAAAGCATGGCACTGTGAAATAAGGTGCCACCTGAACTTGTCTACTATCTTCTTTCCAGTTAATACTTGTATTTTATTCAACCACAGCAACAAATCAGGTTTTCCTATCATTAACAGGAACAGAACTGCTTCTAAAACCCAGAGTCTCTCCTCTTAGTTTTGTCCCTGAAAACTAAATATGAATATTCTTGATTCCCTAACTGAATTTCCTTTCAAGACAGAACTGATGATCCTGCTTACCATTTTTGCTACAGAAAACAGAACTCCCTTCTGATTTCATTTCTTAGTAGCCAAAGCAATCAAAATGAAAATATCTCAACACCCACATGCAACCAAAAATACCCTCCAAACCCCCCCCCCAAAAAAAAAAAAAAAAAAAAAAATCCCCTTTAACTGCTATCAATAGAGCTCTCCTAATCCATGCAGAAAGAAACTGAACGAAATATACATATTCAACTCACTGGTACTAT